TGTACACGATCCGCACTAAACAGGTGAGAACCTATGCTAGACACCGCACTACACGGGTGATAAGTCGTTCATGATGTACACGATCCGCACTAAACAGGTGAGGACCTATGCTAAACACCGCACTACATGGGTGAGAACTCGTGATAAGTCATTCATGCGGTACATGACCCGCACTATAAACAGGTGAGGACCTATGCTAAACACCGCACTACATGGGTGAGAACTCGTGATAAGTCATTCATGCTGTACACGATCCGCACTAAACAGGTGAGAACCTATGCTAGACACCGCACTACACGGGTGATAAGTCGTTCATGCTGTACACGATCCACACTAAACGGGTGAGAACCTATGCTAAACACCGCACTACATGGGTGAGAACTCGTGATAAGTCGTTCATGCAGTACATGACCCGCACTAAACGTGTGAGAACTGAATGTCCACAGTAAATAGGTGAGGATCCAGGATCCATCGACTCATGCTAAATGCCACACCACGAATGCATGTATGTACATGTGTTAATTGCACATATTTCATTTCATAGGGTAAGTGGCCAAGATCATCAGGTATCTAAATTGCACAGTGATGCCATGAAACTATTTGAACAATATTTTTATAACATGTTTTATATAAGGACATATCACTTGGTAGTACAGTGCGTAATCTGTTATCCGAAACCCTTGGGACCAGACACGTTTCGGAATTTGGAACTTTTCCGATTTCGGAGGGGTAGTACAGACTATCATACCGTATATCCTGCAACTAGCCAGTACGAAAACCCAAGTTTTCAAGAGGCCAAGTTCTGTACCAGTACAGTACAATCTGTATAAGTAATGCCAAACACGTTAATATTTCTGCAGTGAACCTTGTGTGCAGCCAAACGCGAGCTTTGGTATGCAGACGACCTCCACGAAAAAACGTTCGCTTTTCGGAGCGTTTCGGTTTTCAGAATTTCGGATAATAGCTCGTGTTCTGTATGTGTTCATCATGATAATGCAAAGAATTTTCACTTTATAATGAGAAAACAAGCATGGGCTATGTCGGTCAACATTCTAGACCGTGTGGGATTAATGCTAAATCTAATGTTAGAAGACGTGCATGTCCTGCGGTGACATTTCTATGAATTCTGCCTGTATGTAGAAGGCAGGTGAGTTGGATGGTGCACAAAGGTTTGGCGATAATCATGCTTGATTCTCTTTACTTTCAGTAGTCTTTACAGAAGATAGAAACGATGTAGGCAATCCTATAAAGATTCAGTTGTTGTTATATTGCAAGTGGCTGCCTTGTGAATTTACATGGTTCGCACAGTCCTCGAAAAGTCCTTGAATTTGAGGGGAGTCCTTGAAAAGTACTTGAATTTTGTAAATGTTGATTTTGTGCTTGAAAAGTACTTAAATTTCATGAAAATGTCCTTGAATTTTTAGAAAGAATCCTTGCCTGTAATAAAAAGAAATTTTGTACCATCAATAATGTGCAAACCTCAATAAAAATTGCATTAAATGAGCTTAAAAAGCTATAGACACGGTAGACAGTTAAATGATGATCACAAATTACAGTAATTCAGTAAAATCAGTCAGTAAATCAAGGTATGTTGTAGAAGACAGTGACAGTGTTTAGAAGGGTTTATTAATGTGATCCAGGTAAGTTTTAGAGGGGACAGTGATTAAGAATGGGGTTATTATTAAATTAATCCAGGTATGTTTTGTTCTGTGTATGAATTCCGATAAAATGTCCGATAAAATGTCCTTGAATTTCCGATAAAATGTCCTTGAATTTCCAATAAAATGTCCTTGAAAAGTCTTTGAAATTTTTTTCAGTCCTTTTGTATGAACCATGATTTAATCCTCTTCAGTAAGCTAGCTGTAGATGCATTCTAGACTGAATAGGTGCCTCGTCCCTGAACGTGGAATCCTTCCATGGCAGCGTGGCTATACAAAACTAAGTAGGGGCGTTATTGTGAGCCTTCTGATTAATCCCCGACGGATATTGCTCCGCACTCGTGTGCGTGCATCCACCTAGCTGCAATTTTCAGCACACACTGTGCCATCACATATTGCCATCTGCTTGGATTTGCTCTGAGAAGGAGCTTGCATAGAACTGTGGTGGCATCTAGTACGCCTACGCACTCAGTTACTAGCTCTGAGTTGCTAGGCAACTCATCAGAATTCGTTGTGATTGTGGTGAATCAGTTGACATTTTCTGGGATAGCTTCTTTTTTAGTTATGACGACGATTGTTGTCACATTAGTCGATTGTTGTGCTGACTGATTAGCTGACTGATATTAATAATAATATTTATCATTATTAATGAATACTAACCTATTGTTTCTTTCCGAAGAAATCGAATGCATCTAGGTTTCTTCTTTTAGCTGTACGATACTTGATGTGCAATTTTATGCAACTGAATATTGTAAAGCGCCTGTTTGGCCTGTTCTCTTGTTTAGATTAAGGACGACGACAGTGACTACAAGTTCATCCAGCGACAATGGGAGGACCTGGAATGGCTGGAACACTGTCTGACCGTCGACATTAATGTCAGCGGAATTATCGTGAGTGATGTCAGGGGTAGAAATGAACTTTTGAAAGAGGGAGTCCAACGGACTCCCTGCCCTCAAAAAGAGGAAGTCGATCCGCAGCAAAATGAGAGAGTCCGTAGTGTGAAATTCAAAATTAAAGATTTGCTGACAAAATACTGTAATTCCGCGAGGCCGTGCTTTGGAACGAACTATAGTGCAGGGAGTCTTACGTACTCCTGCATATGTCAAATCAGGAAGTCCGACAGTAAATCGGGGAGTATTTGACTCCGTACTCGCGGTAATTTCGCACCCTGTGATGTTCACTACAGGTGTAAACACAAACAATTAAGCTGCGGCCACTTCCAGGCACCCCAGTCTTCTGTTGCTTGTCCGCACCCTCTCGTCTGAATTCACGTCCAATGAATTATGCCTACAGATTTGTTCATCAATAGATCGATAGATATCGTTCATCATAAGACTGGTATGATGTGCACAGAAATAATTATTGCAAAATGTTGGATAGTTGTCTCCCCACCAGTGAAATGCAGGGTTGGGTTGCCAGAAACCAGATATTGTTTGTCTGGGCTTATTTTTTGTCACCCTCTGGCATGCAGTCCTGTAGGAGTGTCACACGCTGACAAACTAATATACATGCGTACGTACGTAATTGCAATATAATTTATGCTGAAGGCTGCAGGCAACTGCAGTTAGAGTGGCTTTCCTTCCGTCTGATTATGTCTGTCACCATCTGAGTTTGAAGAATCTTTGTCAGGGCTCTTTTCGAAGTGTTATCTTGATTACAGTGATTACGTCACCGTAAATAGTAAAAAAAAATAATATTTCCACTTTTTCACAAAATATAAGTATATCTGTTCACTTTTTATGGTTAAATTGCTGCACTATACTTCTTATTTTACTATAATATTGTTCGATGTGAACATACACTCGTCACTTATACATAGCCCATAGCAAGCAATTAATGTTAGGAACACTAATATCCAATCGTCCAGGTTTTTTGGATTTTTAACTAGTCGAGAAACAATCTTATCAGGTAAGAATTTGACGATACGTTTAGTCCCGTTAGTTGTTACTTTTAATGTAAAAAAATGGCAACAAAAATTTGACAAATTTTACCATAGAAAATTCGTGACGTAGTCAATTTAAGGATATACTGCTGCTGAGGGCACACAATGTCTTCTGGCTCGTCCCCCCTCTGCTTTACTCCTCACTCACAGTATGTTACAGTATATGATAGTTCCCCTCTTTTTAAATAGCAGTTTATTGCCTGTTGTCAGCATTTACAGGGTGCAGGGTGTTGAAACTGGTTGTTGTTAACTAGACTTTACCATTTTTGCTATGTGCTACACTTGCATATTTCGTGCAAGCAGTGAAAATATAAATGTGTAAAGACTATAATGATGATATATAAAATATATAAAAATGGCCCAAAAAACATACGATGTTCTGACCAGTGTAAGGTCAGACGTGGGCAAATCGCTTCACATTCGGGTCACGGCGTATAGGATCTGGTCGTGTCGAGTCACGCGAGATACAAGCAGGCTTCGGCCGACGATCGTAAACCGCTTCTACGGGCGGAAGCGGGCGCCACAACGGGCGACCGTTGCCAGGGGCAACTGCGGCCCGTCTCCGCGGCAACGTCCGTCCGTCGCCGTGGTAACGCGCGTCGTCCGCTCGTCGCAGGTTCCGCCGCTGCCGCCGAAGCCGGGAGCGAACGCCGCGAGTGCGGAGACGCGGTCACGCAAGCAGCTCGGTAGCGCCACGAAGACCCTGGTGGGAGACGAGTTCTATCGCGACTGTCGCATGCTCGAGAAGTGAGTGTACAGGAGGCTACGATATAATGCAGCGGAGATCTTACATGCAAGGTCTGCTTCCTATTTCATAAGTGAGATCTACTGATGAAATATTATCATAGAAATCTATGCTGGGATAACCCCTCTTCATTTTAAATTCATAATTTTGTCAAAATATTCTTCTTCTCGAGAGATATTGCGCATGCGCGAGCACCGTTTCAGACGTGCAAAACGGCCTAAATAAAAGTAAGGATTGTAGCTTGCTGCGGGAGAGAGATGTGGGAGACTGAGGGAAGGTGGCAGGGAAGACAGCCGAGGGACGGTGGAAGAAGAAGGTGGCAGGGAAGACAGCCGAGGGACGGTGGAAGAAGAAGGAGGCTGAGCGTGCGACAAGGGAGAGAAGGGGAAGGGCGGGCGGAGATGAAGTAGTAGTTTTGCACTCTACTGGCTAGGGCGCTCTCCTAATTATAAACACAGGTCTACTGATAAGAATTTATTACAGAAACCTATGTTGAGATATACCCTGACCATACTAAATGCATTTCCATTACAAAATATAACTCCTCTGGTGAGATATTGCGCATGCGCTGAAACACTAATGCAGTCAGGTTATGTACTGACTTGTATATGCAGCGGGGACCTTACATGCAAGGTCTATTTCCTATTTCTGAATTGAGGTCTACTGATGGAATTTCGTCATATAAATCTATGCTAGGATGACCGCTCATCATTTTAAATTCATAATTTTTGCAAAATATTATAATCTTCTCGGGAGATAGTGCGCATGCGCGAGCACCGTTTCAGACGTGCAGTACGACCTAAATAATAGTACGTAATATATACGATATACATAATATCAGTAGTAATATATATATATATACGAATGTACATAATATATACCACATCTATCAATAGCTACTGGAGAGCTTGACAAGATTCTGGAACTCGAGACTAGCAAATCCTATCAATACCTAGGGCACCTAGCAGCAGTATACTTTCGCGGTTCCTGTATTCAGTTTAGGCTATCAATCGGAGGTCATTTTTTATATTTTCTATTTTTTTTCATTTAATGGAGACAAGCACAAAATAATAATATTATCAAGAGCTAATAATACCTATTATAATAGGTATTATCCGCTCTTGATATTATACAAGGGGCTTATAATTATGCAGAAGCACATGTTGATAAACCTGGGGGGGACATTTTATATTGTGTCCCCCACCCTTCGAAAAGTGGGGGGAAGTGTCTCCCGTGTCCCCATGGCATTTGCGCCCATGGAATATGATGAGTGTACTGTACAGGCCTCAGCGCTTATTTTCAGATCTGGTTGTCCATGTCGGGCAACACGAAGCAATTTTTACTTGTCCGAATTTTGGTTTTACTTGTCAGAAAATTTACTTGCAATCTAGATGAATTCGATCTAGATGGGCGAGGTACCAGGGGAGACGGATGGTAGGGGCGAGGCACCAGGGGGGTCGAATAGTAGGGGCAAGGCACTAGGGGGGTCGAATGGTAGGGGCGAGGCAGGGGTTGAAAGGGAAAGGAGTATGATGTGGGGGTGCAGCGGCAGGGTAGTTTTTATTTTGATGATTGGCTTTATAAGCCAGGCAAAATCGAGTGCTATCTTAGTACCATCGTTCTAATGCTTGTCTTTACTAATTAAATCACAAGTAGAAGCTCATTTGGGTGTCACTGTCTCGATCACGTTGTCATTAAATAGAAATTAATTTGTGGCATTTTCTGCGATCAAGGTATCTCCGTCTGCTCATCAATCATCCGACATTCGGAAAAAACCCAGCCCTCGAAAAGTTCCTCATGCAGAAGGAGGTATGTATCCGTGTCTGTATCTGTTCTTGTGGTGGCGTATACGTCTTTGTGTCTTATCTCTATCTGTGCTTAAATCCGTGTCTGTGTTTGTACCTGTGTTTGTGTGTGTGTGTTGCTGTTTCTGTGTTGGTCTCCTATCTGTGCCTATATCTTATCTATGTCTGTGCCTGAGTCGGTGCCTTTGTTGGGCTGGCCTGTGTTTGTGTGAATGTGTCTCGTGTGTGGCTGTCTGCTTTTTGTGGCTGCTTTCTGGTAACTTCATTTTCACGTATTGGTCACTTCTTGACCAGTAGTGCCACGTTCTTAGTCATGCGGTGATTTTCTCACTTCGTCGTGCACACGTGTGGTCGGATTTGGGAGCACCGCATCCCACACGTTCACCATTCTTTAGACTCTGGTCATTGCTGGGATCGTGTGCCGAGCCTGGTTGGCGATGTACCGTTATTCGCGAACTGTTTATCGCCAGTGCATTGTAAGCAAGTCTACGGCTTTACGCCGGATTGACATTCAGCCGTTTTAGTGGGGCCACAATTAAACAAATCTTTGTTTGCCCTCACCCAACCCAGGCTGAAAAGTTTGGGTAGGTAGGTGGGCTTTTTTGAGGGGGGTCTTTTTACAAATTCAGCATGGTGTCTACATGCTCAGGTGTGTTTATGTGGAAATATCTTTTATGTTGAATGTTTGTTTTGCTTGGTACATATAATGTATTGCCTACAAATTTATATAATGTACAGTACTGTACAGATACAATTTTGTAAAAAAAAAAAATGGGAAAGATCAATACAACATTTTTGAGTCGGCCCCTTTTTGGCGGGTCGGTCGGGTGAGGGCAAACAAACAATATTTTTGTTATGGCCCGAAATATAAATCGTCGTTTAACTGTCGCGCTTCTGCTTTCGCGCGCTGCGCATTTCAGCCGCCGACACGTGCCAGGGTGAAAAAGGGAATGTTCAGCAAGCTGTCATCAGCCGTCGAGAACCGCAAGTCATCTCACCCCGTACGTGACGCCGCCGCCATCTTGTGTGCAACGTGCTCTAGATTATATATATATATATTAATATGTTATTAACACGCACTCGCGCTGGCTGCCATCTTGTGTAGTAGATGATTATTATTAGCTCATCTGACATAGTCAGATGCAGCTTGTAGAATCGCTTGATCGTCCGTCCGTCCGTGCGTCCGTCCGGCCGTCCGTCCGTGCGTCAACAGTTGGGCACAAATCTTAACCGCTCGACGTACGGTCACGATATTCGGCACATCGGGGGGGATCGTCAAAACGAGTTGGGATGTCGAAGCTGGGGGTCAAAGGTCAAAGGTCAAGAGGTGTAAAAGAAGGGGGAACATTCACTCCTTAACTTAAGGTATAGGGAGGAAATGCATAATTGCGGCACAAATCTAAACGGCTCGACCTAGGCTCGTGATAGTCGGTGTATAGCATCATGGTAGGAAAAGCCATCACTGTGCCGAAATTGGAGGTCACAGGTCAAAGGTCAGTGGGCACAGGGCAGATTTTAGACATTTTCTGAGGACATGGTCTGACGGAGCGATTGAAAAACTTTTTTGTTTCAGCGGTGACCTAGCATTTTTATGGCTTTATTGAAGGGACCATGAAATGTCCCTTCTGCTGACATGCGAAGAGTAAGTGTCGGATAACCTTTTGACCCTCAAGAGGAGGGTTAAACATGGATTTGTTGACTGTCTGTTAGAAAGAATTTGACTGCCGGGTTTGCTAGTAGAATCTATACATGCCTGGATGTATGAGGCTACAATGTCACAGTGAAATTTCAAAAGCTAAATTTGGTTAAAGAAGGTGTATATTCCTTAAATCGTATAATTTCTATGTCATTCTGTACTGTCAGTTGGTTACATGTCACGTATGCCACTGCCAGTGGCTGTGCATGTGTTGGGGCAGTTTTTGCCTGCATTAATTGGTTACAGGTGGCAGCTCTCTATTGCAATTTGCAGCCTGTAGGCTTGCGTAGGTAAATGGATGAGTGCTTACCTAGATTCTGTCTTGCAAATAGTTGTTGCTACTACGAATGATGGGAGCTTCCATCTTTAATCTGAAGACACTTAAACGTACACGCCATCTCGTGGCAACTTTCATAACGATCCCAACGAACATTCTTTTGAGAAGGTTCCTGATACCATCTCTGTGCATTCCACTATTTCGGCGTGTATGTGAACACATTTGGGACTAACAGGGTTTACTAGAATCCCACCACTCCACCACAGAGTCACCGCAGTAGACGTTAGATGAGCGCTGTCGCTATGCGGCACTTGTTATCATTATTATTATTATAGGATATATGTATATTAATATATTATTATAGAATTAAATATATTGTTAAATATATAATTATATTAGTTACATATATGTTATCGAGGATGTACTAGAATGATATTTTTCTCAGAGTCGCAGCGTTTCGAGGGGAAATATCGCGAAAGCGGCTCCGAGTCATTGAGTCTCTCGACTGCAGATAGTGTTTCTTACCGTTGTCGCCTAATAGGTGGCGCCAGGAGTGTAATATGAGGGTCGTCGCCGGGTCGCGGTGATTTCCTACAATTATGGTTTGATTGCAGGATTGTGATGAATTCTTTCAAAAGGAGAGAACCTGGGTGACCGAATATAGCAATATAATGAAGGACTGTAGCAATGTAAGTTCTACAATATATATGTAATGTGCTACCCAGCGTGATGGTGGTCATTAAGCAGAACTCAGTCATACTGCATACTCCACTTTATTGTTCAATGATAAAACAAGTCCACGCGTGTAGGCCTACTATACATTTAATCTTGGTACAAATTGTTCATCTTAAAGTGAGTACACAAACCTGTATAGAAGAGTTACCGATGTAAAACCGCAAAGGTGTCCTTTATAGACAGACCTGTGCCTGTTCTATCAAGGTTTTCGCTAGCATGTGTTTGACTTCTATAATATTTCATTCGGCGGTTCTTGCATGCAATCCTAGCCAGAACATTCTCTGAATTCTATTCAACTCGTTCATTTCATGCGTAGCATTTGTTCATTTTCGTAAAAAGTTCTTGGATTGGATCGATTCCCATCCTATTCGGACGGGCCCCTGATCTATAGAGGAGGTAAGTATGGGGAATCAACTTCCAGATGTTGTCCACATTTCAGGCGTTCAATCAGAAGGTTTATGCTCAGAAGAGTCTGGCAAACGCATACGGTCACCTAGCAACCGCCTCCACCCTTCAGTCCGCCTCTCAGGAAGGTCACGATATCTGCCTTAGCAAGTAAGCGAGTGACGTCGTACATCGTTTATGCATTACACCATGAAGATGTTCTAGTTTTGTGCGACCGGCGTTTTATATATTCGGATGCGTCGCGTGCGTGGCGCGGCGCGAAATGTGTTTACGCCAATGAATTGATTGTTAGCGCGAGCTGGTGGCGCAGCGACATGTGAGTTATGCATACAGGAATTGCGTTTAGGCGTGTTTAACTAGGGCGTCTGCTGCTATAGACGTATAACTGCATGCATATGTCGCACGTCTGCGACGTAGCGTCTGTGCTAAATGCGTCTCGTTGCCTTTTTCAGGTTTTTAACGAAGTTTTCGTCAGGCCTTGAAGGTGCCAAGGTACGTGAGAAAGATAGTGTTTTACCTGGGAAAAACTGGTAGCCATGTTTGTGTTTTGTTTACACGCCTCTGCCGTGGTCAGAGATCGTGTTGTATTTCATCTGATTCCTCGCAGTTCAGAAAATTGATTGCTCTATTGTTTACTTATGATAGTTTAATAGTTTTAATTTTTCAGATAAGTATAGTGCAGAAAAAACATTTAAAAAACATTAGTTCTTTCTAGCATTTACTCCCATGTTTTTTTATCATGTAAATAATGGACAACGAAAATACATTCATAAACGTAATGAAATAAAGCTAATTTAATTCATTTAAAAACGTTTAGAAAGTGCAAACGGCCGGTGACGTAGACGCTTGAATTTCCTTCCGCAGCACGGACTAGAGGTGATGAGCAACAATGATGAGCGTACGCTCGGCTTTTACCTCGAGTTCTACGCCATGACCTTCGAAGCAGAGAAGGTAGGACCATGGCGCGTGACTCTCGACTGCGTAGAATAACCGCAGAAATGTGCTTCGACGTGAGACGCGAGGCTTGCGCTTGTGTTTCGCGATGACGTAACATTCGGTGTGCCAGCCGTACCGCGTTAGACGAGCTACAGTGGTGTAGACGGCAATATTCTAGATTGACCGAGCATAGCTTTCGAAATCTATCGTTTTTCGGAGATCTTGCGCCCTTGTGGCAGCCATTGGAATCGGGGTGAAGATCATCCGTGCTTTCAAAGTTTGGATTGGTCTTTTGTCTATTTTTTTATGCTCTTGTGCTCGGTTGATCCGAAGACGTTTAGAGTGGAATTTCGATTTGATTTTGTCTCGCCAATGAAGTCGTCCGCCGGGTGCGCGATGTAGTGGAACTAACGTTGTTTGACCACCGTCCGAATGCAATATTGAGTGGCCGCTCTGTTCACGCTCGGGTAGGCTGATAGAATCGCGTGAATATTTAATCGCGGCTTTTTCGATCGTGCGTGTTTTTGCCGCGTTGTCATCGACGCACCCCGCCGCTTTTTCAGGACATGCTGCTGCGCCGGACGTGTTTGTTGGTAGAGTACGAGACAGCGAACAAAACTCTGGACAAGGCGAAGCCCAACAAGAAGGAGGCGGTGAGTGGTTGCCGTGGTTACCCACGCGTGCTGGGGAGCAGGCGGGGGGGGGGGAGGGGGCAACTGGCGTCCGCTGAATAAATCATGCGTGATTTCGTACATGTTGTACACGTGTTTCGTACGCTTGCGTCGAGCTTCGAAGTTCTTATTTGCAATCAAAGAAGTGGGTGTGTGTGTGTAGGTGTGGGTGTGTTGTGCGCATGTGTGTGTGTGCGTGTGTGTAGGTGTGGGTGTGTTGTGCGCATGTGTGTGTGTGCGTGTGTGTAGGTGTGGGTGTGTTGTGCGCATGTGTGTGTGTGTTGTGTGTGTTCGTGCGTGCATGCATGTGTGTGTGCGTGCGTGCATGTGTGTGTGCGTGCGTGCGTACGTGAGTGTGCACGTCCATGTGTGTGTGCGTGTATGCGTATGTATATGTGCGTGTGTGTCTGCATAAATACCGCAGCGATAACTTCGACGGCAAATATACAGACAGCGTAGAGAAAAACAGGAAGAACTTTAAACTGAACCATATCAAACACATGGGAAAACATGTGAAATTAAATATTCGCATAATTGAACATTCACCTATCGATCGCGAGCGAATCTCCACGTGCTGCCACCTGGCAGCAGCGGTGGCATAAATTAGCCCGCTGGTAAGCGCACTCAATAATTTACAATTTAAGCGTCGGTGGCATTAAATTCGACTTCGATAATTCATAAACGTGGCCGTTCGTGGGTTTATCATTACTGCGGGTGTGCTGTTTGATCTATCCTGCATGCAGTGTTAAGGCACGGTTGGCTCTGAGATTATGCGAGCCTCATCCAAGCACAATGGCGCAGCTGTGGAAAGCCACGGATTGGATTAATGCTGGAGCACTGACCCCTGTCAACACCCACAATCTGGCATGCTGTGCCAACTATTGGATAGATACATCCCGCTTCTCTGTTTCACACATGAAGTCAAATGACCAGCACCGCCTGCTGTAGCAGGGCACGATCTGATTGGTGGAAATCAAATCGAATCGGGTCCAGGTCGAGTATTTCTGAGCGGTGCCAGTTCGGTACTTGCGACCTGTAATTACATGGCATAAATCACCTTGCAATGCATGTCGAGAGACTGAGAGAGCATCACATGTGGTGTGGTGTGATAGTGCACAGCTTGCACATGAGGTCATTGTGAGGTCACACATGATGTCACTAGAACGATGACCGTTGCCGTTATCTACAGATATTTTACGATGGCGCTACTGTTACTGTGGTCAGACTTGTATACAAGAGTCACGCAAGAGAAATGACAAATGTGTGCTTTATAGACAGGTGACTGTTATATAGGAAAGAAATTCATTAAATAGCTGCCACTCTAGAAATATACCCAAAATAATTCTTCGTATGTGTAGACGTTTGATCGTGGTGTCTGCTTGCGCAGGCTCGACTGTACGTCAAAGTCTGCGCTCCGCCAAGTTTTTCACGTGCGCGCGTTAATTGCGTTAATTCGCGTGCCGAGCGACGCAACTTCCCCTCCGGCCACCGTAACCGCGGTGAAAAGCCGGGGCAGGTGCTCCGAAAGGCTGGCAGACGGCCGTTAAGTGCTGTTACCGCTGATTAAGTTAAGTCTTCATCCGGCGGCGGCGGCGGCGGCGGCGGCGGCGGCGGCGGGCCGGCGTGAGAGAGCGTCGGTGGTGGCTTGGCAGCGACGCGCCAACACCCACGATAGTCTCCTCTCTGGGGTAATCAGGGAAGAGTTGAATCGCGGATCGGAGCCGATGAATTATGGACGCTCGCTCGCTTAATTAACCGCTTAGTTAGGCGCATCGCCGTCGCTGCGATTAATAAGTGATGCGCGCGCGGATCTCAGCCCGCGACCCATGACTCGGGGCTCAAGACTGAGGCGACCCGCCCTGTCTCGCGCATGACTCGGGGCTCAAGACTGAGGCGACCCACCTGGTCTCAAGCGTGACTCAGGGCTCAGACTGAAGCGACCTGCCCTGTCTCGCGCATGACTCGGGGCTCAAGA